TGATACCACCTCAACTGAAGAAACCTTTACAAGTAAATTGCCTAGCTTAGGGAAAAACACTGACCACCTATGCTACTTGAGTTGACAATACTCCCCGATTACAGACCATGAATAGGCAAAAAAGCTGCAAGCCTGGAACCGGCAAACTTAGCCAACTTACAACCTGTTGTCTTCCAGTGGGAAACCAGAGGTACCGCGCATGGGTGATAGATGTGACACTCTCATACAGTCGAATGGTGCTAGCGTATCCAATGTGTGATCGGACAACTACTCGCTATGTTGTAACCCCCCTGATCATCTGGAAACAAACAGGCAACCAAACTCATGTTTTCGGGGTGGTAGACCACATCAGACTGAATAGTGGTGATTTCCAAAGTGAGGTTTCTAAATTACAAAGCGTATAATAATAAAAAGAATTAGCCTGCGCCTGGCTTATGGACCGTTGGAACCTATGGATGCAATGCTAAATAGAATAAATTGAGCAAACTCACGAGCTTGAAGCTGTTCAAGTTGAAGATTTCGAGAAGACTGAGCGACTTTCCAACCAAGAAACCTGAATCTGGTTACTTGTGTTCCAATTCAGTAGCACAGCGGCAATGTCCTCAGAGCCCTAGATTTTCGATCGGCACTACGCAGAAATCAGTGTGAAACTGAATCGAAAATACATAAAGTCTAAACTTCGTTTGGGCTACATTCACGCTCCAAGACCAGCCCAGACATACAGGGGATGGTTAATTGAACTCATCAGGATCTACATGGCGCGTTTCTATTTATGGACACGCGGTATACAATTCTAGGCTATTATCTAACTGAGGTCGGTACACTAAGGCAACTCTCAAACAAACGTGTCTCGACGGTGTGATAAGCAAGAGCATTCCAAAGGCTTGCCTAAAATTAGCAAGTACTATATACCTATCCACACCCTTTTGGCTCAAACTTGTCATTTGAGGCACGATAAGGCAAACTCTAAAGGGTTTTCTGTGTCTTGCAGTTCGTCCTCTTGTGTGCGTTTTTTTACCAAGTGTAGGTTCAAGACTTGGTCTCTGAACTCCTTTTCGAACTCAGGGCGAATCGGTGGAAACCATGGAGCCTTTAAATTATTGTGGAAGTGGTGACAGTTGAAGGTTAGGACAGACAAAAGATGTACACCACAAATACCGAAGGCCAATCTTGCCAATCTATCTGCACCACCAGTCGAAAAGGCTGTCACCGAACTCAGGGCGAATCGGTGGAAACCATGGAGCCTTTAAATTATTGTGGAAGTGGTGACAGTTGAAGGTTAGGACAGACAAAAGATGTACACCACAAATCCCGAAGGCCAATCACGTTTGCCAATCTGCACCACCAGTCGAAAAGGCTGTCACCGTGCTCCAAAAAGGGATATTGGATATTACACTGTACAGCATCTTACCATATGGCAGCAAAATACGACATCTAGATCATCATCGTCATCATCATCATCATCATCATCATCATCATCAAAGACAGCAACATCAGTGTTGGCACTGATGCTTCACTGCCGACATCTAGAGCTCTTTCACTTAAAATCTTAAAACCACAGGTTTATTAGGTGATGCCAGCGGATTCGCAGAGTTGTCATGGGCTTTTCGGACGCGTGATGAACAATTCTGCGGTGACCGGATGTTATACATGCCAATGCAGCGTCAAAAAACGAATAATGCTTTGAAAGGCCAGGTAGCAGAACAGTAATCGAGCCGCAGGGCGAAACGTAAATTGGTCAGAAGGCATGGAAGCAGCCGGAAAATCCGGCTAATGTGTCAGACCCCGACAGGCAGCTGACTAGTGCCATGCCACTGATTCCGACTGGGTGCTAAGCTTTGGTCAACAAATCCAAGTATGAAACTTGGGTCGAGGTCCAAACAGCTGACCCGATGTGTGGCATGCTGAAGGCACCACTACGGATAGCATTTACAACAAACCTTGAAGCCTTCAAGGGACAAACGGAACAAAAAGCAAGAAAGCAATACTACTGCTAATGCTTTATTTGAATGGCTTGGCAGTAGATGCTGTGGTCGCCATCAAGGACAGGGTTCGCGTGACCCTCTCCATGATTAATTAGAGAGGTTACGAGATATAGCGGTGAGCTGACGTTAATTGAATACGTGTCCCAAGTTTCTACCCAGGTTATCCAATCAACCACTGGTGGCGTAAACGCTGGGAATATTTGTGTTGCATTAGCGAACAGCCCCCTTACCGCCCTCAGTTTTTTCTATTCCCCACACACCAGGGCGTCCTTTAAGCCAAATGACGTATTCTTCGGTGGTGAAACAGATGTTGCCGTCTGTAGAAGCAGTGATGGTGGCGATTATGGTTGTCACTCGGTCCATGCACAGCGTAACCCTTAGTCGATTATCGACAATAAGTGGGAAAATGAACGATATACTGAAAGCGACAGAAACAGTTTCGACTCTGGAAACCAAAATGGGAACTTCCGTCATTGGCAGAGAGGTCGGGAAGCCCATCCACCTTATCACCTTGGATCGAGAACCTCTAGCTACGCGCACACGACCTTGTGTGTGAAAGTTGCAAAAATGTGGATAAAAGACCGCAAAAACCGAGGAATCATTCGCAAAGAGAAACCGCATCCAATTTCAGTCGCTCTGATCCACTAGTCTCAAAAGTACAAGCGTTAGCACCGTCTGTCATCATCATGCGCAGGTTGACGTATCATCGGCAGGGCCAAAGTCACCAGAACCAAGTTGGGTTACGTCCTACTGGAAGTGCGTCGATGATACCTTCCTTTGACAATGCCCTTCATTGCACCGACAATTGCAATTTTGCCTAGTTTGGAGGTTGCTACTGACTCTGTCGATAGTCAGAAACTATGGGAGTGTCTGACAATGCAGTAGGTACTTTCTAGACTCCCTATCCCTAACAAAGGCACAATAGGACTATTCTCATCGACAAGCATGGGTCTACCATCAGCCCTCGCCTGAGTGGACCACGACCAGTAGCATCAGAAAATGCTGCACTTCCTGAACGATCGATGGCCTACCTGGGTCTTATCCGACTTGGAAACGAAATACCCCCAGACATTCTCTCAAAGACAGTGTGTATGCTGATGCTGATATTTTGGATCGGACCCCTTGGAATGTAGATCCCAAACCTAAATAATCCTGCTGCATAATACAGCGTGCGCTGCACATCCAAAGGTTGTAGGCTATTACTGCAACGCCGAGACGGATCAAGCCCAAACCTCGTACTCACAGATAAAGTCATCCATCTGAGCAGGTGAATAAGTCCCGGCAGGCTGGCGAAAGACGAAATCCCTCCCCAGATCTGGAAGCTATGGACGGTGACATCTGTAACGCCGATGTGATATCTATCAGCCACTCTATGAATCAAAGACGTGGTCGCTGCTTTCGGATATAAAAAACGCCCTCAAAGCATTAAGTGACGCAGGGTTTTAAGAAAAACACCGCCTCGTGCTGGACCGGTCAGCTACGCTAGTTGGGCCATATAGACCGTATGCGTGAGAGCAGTACGCCTCACAACGCTCTTTCCGCCTAGCCATATGTAGGCGATAAATGATCGGGGGACAGTCGGTTCCTGACTTGGTACCGAAGCATGAAAGCTCATAACAGCCAACCGGGGCGAGATGGTCCAAATGGTTAGAGCGCGAATTTACTGACCGGAAGGCCCGTGATTCGAACCCGACCTCTGCCTCTCGACTTCCCCTGTCTAGGCTAGGGCAACCTGGCAGTATCCCAGTCCTCGTGCAACCTTCGAGTGGCACGGCAGTTAGGTGCCGGAAGGGTGCTACAGCTGGACGGTTTTTTTTCCCGGAAAGAACAGCCAACTGAATCACGTTTGTAAATGCCTTCTCCCTGGAGGGGCAACCCTGGCGATACACGTACATAGTTTGCGGTCCTGGCAGATATGGCTGTTACGCAGCCAACTGAGTTCTCGCTATAAACAAAGCAAACAAGTAATAAGCTTACTAGACCGTTGTCTTTAACAAGTGGCTAAGGTTACATTCTCCCCTAACCTCGCAAACCAAGATGTAGGAGCTGGAGCCTTGCACCTTGGTTTACAGTGACTTCCTCTCATATGATGAGTCAGCACCCAAAATATCTTGGGTTGCCGATTTCCATCGCCAACACAACTGGGACACGATTGTGGATCCAAATGGAATCTGTTGTATACGCGACATCCGCTCACCACACTGCTTCTACTCAAGGGTGCATTCCTAGCTGATCGGAGGGCGTCAGAAACTTTATGGAGGCTGTTGGATCTTGCGTTGATCTCACTGGCCTAGTCTATCGGCTTTGGTACTTGCTAGAGTTCACTCACCTAGCCCCTGTATAGTCAAGTGCTATCCACAGTATTGCACAGCTCCTCCTTGTGANCCACAGTATTGCACAGCTCATTAGCTCCTTGTGACCGTCGAATGGTTGGCACAGCGATTGATCAGCGTCGTGTCTATCAGGAGCCCATTTTCCCCATGTAGCACTCACCAAGTCATAGTCTCCTCACGACACTTCATAGCCAACAATCCAGATTACCCTAGTGGCACCAAGCCCAGAGGCAGTCACGTGATGGTCGTCACATGGAAGTGTTGCACCATAACTACCTTTAGAAGCTTATGGCTGGAAAACTTACTGAAGCGCTTACCCTCTCTCTAAACAAGCCTAAAAACCCATGCGCTAAACACACAAAACAACACAATGCTTTGGTAATCACCCGAGGACTAAGAAGAACACAATGCCCGCGCACCACCGATCATTTGCATGAACCCATTCACTCTGCTTAAGGAAACAGAGGAACTATATCTGACTGACACCTGTACATTATCAATCTCAAAGATATTAGACTGCGAGATGCAAAACGCATTCACCTGCACACCAACACCACATGGCGTTACGGTTGTACCAGACGTCTAAGGAAGCAATACAGTTTGCACATTGATGATCCGCTTCGGATTTCCGAATATGAACTAGCCGTCGTTGGAACTGGGAGCATGAAAAACTAAGAATTACCGTAAGCCCGCCAACCAGTTTCTGCTGGGATGGTTATCGCATAGGAATAAGACGCCGGACCGACGGGTCCCATCTTTTTGGGAGCCAGTAGTGTATCTACAACTGTTCTAACTTTGTAGGTGTGCCCTGATTTCCGCCGGACTTCTGAAAACCCAGGCACCGCCAGAGAACCAACCAGCAATAAAAGTTGTATAACCTAGACTGAAGAATCGCTGGCAACGAGGCGGCCATCGAGTGAACAAATACCCTGTGACGTTTGGATCATTTGAAATATTTGGTGTGTCTATCCTCCTTGAAAAGACGCGTGTGACCATTTTTAGCTTCGATAATGGTGACCAGTTCTTAATTCCGTCGTAAAATGGAGTGCGGGGTTTTCTGCGCAAAAGATGTGCAACACAAACCGACCATTCAACCCGTAAAGCGCTGCTATGAATCAACTAAATAGTCATAGCGCCCCCGATATATAAAATAAGTAGACAACACAAGGGCATACAAAAAATCGCACTGAGATGTGTACTTCAATATTTACTGGAATTAGTAATATACTATACATAAGTAGGGAGGGTAAGAAAATGACAAGTCGATATGAAAAATTGAAAATGAACCTGCCAGGTGGTCCAGATAGTACATGTGTAGTAGTGGACCATAAAGGACTGACTAGTACGGTGTAAATGCAGCAGTACACTGAATGCGCACCGGGTTAGCGTACATGTGACTGAGTGTTTCATTTATGCTTATTGCAGGGTGCACTCAAAGGATCTTCTAGACATCAAGTTAATGAGAAAGACGATGAGTGATGTGCCTGTGCTCGGAAGCCAGAAACATCAGCCTGGTATGGAAGTGAGCATGGTCCCATGGCTGCTGGTAAAGGAATGCAGCGCTGTCAGCAACAGCAGTCTGTTGTTCTAGGCTCGCTGATTAAAATGAAATTGAACTGAACGAATTAAGGCATAAGAGGGTGAGCAACTTGAAACAACGCTGAGGAAGAACTGGAATATTGGCATCTTGGTTCTACGACTAAGTATGTGTTGCTAACAGCTCAGGAGTCTGAGCAGCCATCGCAGAAGCCACCCCAGGGGCAATGCAAGTCTTCTTATGATAATAAAACGAAGCTCCCCAGCGGTATCTCTTTCCACAAGTAGGACACAGATACTTGCCTTCAGCTCGATGTTTTCCATCAACATGCTGCTTTAATGATAATTTTGAGTTGAAGTCCTTGCTACAAATCGAACAAGAGAAAATCCCTGCGGGGGCCGAATGGTTGTATACACACGTTTCTTTGGACAGGGAAAGATCCTCCGCTGGGGCATCCTGCTCCGAGCGTTCAGAAGCTAAATTTGTCGAGAAATCAACCCCCAAGGCTGCAGGGAAAAGAACTGGCGAAACCCCACTAAGAGCGCTTGAAGCAGTAAGCATTCGGGGACATGACTTCACATGCTCAAAATACTTTGGAATGGTGGGAAAAACTTCGCTGCAAACGCATGTCGGCTGGCAAGATGGAAACTGCCCATTTAGTGGAGCGAACGGAGGGATGTCCAGCTTATCGGTCTGTGGGAACGCTAAAGTATGTAGGTTGATGAAATGCGCCAGCGCTTTTTGTGCTATTGTGAAATTTCCGTTTTGAACATCCGCATCGTCAGTATTTTCTGGTGAGCACTTTCCAGGTGAAGAAGCATAGGAGTTGGAACCCACAGTGTTACCATGGGTTGGCCGTTTTTTGCATTTTTGCTTATGATGATAGTAAGCAGGAGGCCATCTATATACATTTGCACACCATCTGCACTTATAACGGGGAGGGTAGTGGAGATGCATATGCTGATCAAGTAACGATTTGCTCTTGAACCCTTTAAAACATTTCGGGCACCCGTAGGGCTTCTCTTTTGAGGGACCTGGGACTGGGGCAACAGAAGGATGGTGATAGGAGTGATAGGTTTCTGTAGTGGTTGAGTTATCGTCCAATAAATCCAATTTCAGCCTGGTGTGTTGCAGCGAACTGCTGATCCTCCCTTGAACATCCACCGTGGTATCCTGCAAGTCGGTGGCCGCTACGGGGCAATCAACATAGTGTTGTAAGAAATCCGGCAATCGACAGTATTGGTCGCCACATGTGCAAGAAAAACTGCCATTCCCAGGATGCACAGATTCGAAATGCTCACAGAGGTCAGCTGGAGAACCCGTTGAATATTTGCACTCAGGACAGAAACGCTTTTTCAGCTGACTTTCAGTGTCCATATCTACCTTGACATCCACTGGTGATGTGACATCCATTCTAAAACATTAAAACCTGATTATTTGAAACCGAGTACAAACCTGTTTTCCTCGTGGTTGCATTTGTCCATGTGATCCAGGATATGCAGTAAAAATGCGTTGTCAGACGAGCTTTCCATATTGTATTTCGACTTTAGCCCGTTAAATTTATCATACACTTCGACGTCAACCTTTATGTCCATTTCTGCGAGCCAGATGGACGGAACGAAGGTGATTAATCAGAAGAGAGCTACAACCCTTTGTCCATCGGACAATTTCGAAAACGGCTCCTGTACGGTCCTTCAGGGTCAGACTAATCTGTCACTAGATTCAATAGACACAACAGGAGTAATGGTAAATTTATTTCCAAACTTGTGGGCTACAAGTTAGAGGCTTGTGGGCTGGGATCGAAGATGTTCTATATCACTCGCAGTTTAAATGTGGATAGCTGAAAGCAAAGGAGACAGCTGCATGCCATATTTTCTTATGGTTATGGCTGCCACAGCAAAGATTAGGTAAAATAAAAGTGAAATAATATTGTGAAGTTTCAAACATGGCACATCCAGAACTTAGTTAGGTACTGAAACCAAGAAATACAGTACATCTATCTGAAGGTGTTTCCTACCTACATTTTGCTTCCATTACAACACTACGTGTTTCGTCCACCGCATAAGCGCTTTTGCGAAAAACCGTTTCGGATACCTCAGCGGAAAAGGTTGCCCATTCATTTTATGCATGCTGCAAAAAATTACTCACCCAGTGGCGTGAGTAATTTCGATATACCTTCCACCGTCACTACGGATCGCGGTTCACAATTTCAGTGTAATCTCCTCCGTGAGTTTTCCACACTACTCGGTTTCCAGCACATTTCGACTACCGGGTATCGCCCACGTTCCAACGATCTGGTTGAGCGTTACTATCGCCACCCCAAAGCGGCATTGACTGTCCAAATGAACCCATCTTCATGGTCCTCTTCTTTACCCGTTTTATTCGCTATTCGATCCACTATTTAGGAGGATCTTCACCGTCCACCAGCCGAACTAATATACAGTACAACTTTACGTTTACCCGGTGGACTGGTTTCCCCTTCTGGCGCACAGCCCGAATCACACGTCACATTCGTCACCCATCTGAAAGAGCGTATGTTCGAACTTCGTGCGACACCGACCAGACGATCGACGCGAAAAGAACGCATCTCAACCGATCTCTCGTCTACTTCATTTGTATTTGTCCGACATGAAGCAGGAGGGAATCCCCTTCAATCCCATTATGATGGTCCCTTCCACGTTATCGAACTTCATTCTGAATACGTCGTTCTAGAGAAAAGCGAAAAGCATGATGCCATCTCTATTGATCGCGTGAAGTCTGCCTTCATTGAAGTACCCACGACCACATCCAGCAATCCTGCTATCCCGGCAAAACCCGCACCCACCCAGGTACCCCTGTCGCCATCTTCACTTCTTCCACTAATTGATCCGGACGACGCGTCCGTTTCCCTCAACACTTAGCTGATTACGAAACTTAAACTGAGTAAATTTCGATTCATTATTTTCATTATTCCAGCGTTTTCCCTTTTCATAGTCAACGCTCTAGTGGTGGAGTAGTGTGGCGTTTTGTACCTTTATTGTACTTCCATTATAACACTACGTATTCCATCAATTGCATAATCGTTTTCTGTTTGCATACGAAAAACTACCAAAAAAACGCGCACTTCGACTCCCTCTTATTACTTCGCTCGCGCTTGTAGCGGTTATTCGCGAGTCTCATGTACTCACTCTGGTACCGAAACATTTCAGACCATCTTCGGAATCTATTTTATGTGGGAGCTGTTCAGAAGAAGACCTCTGGACCAACATAATTAGATTATTGTTTATTCGCTGACCTAGGCCAAAGACGAACTATTTTAAAGAGAACAACTAATAATGAGTCTGTTCCATCTGACCTCTTTATTTGTGTATACCCAACCTAGTGTTATTATTTTTTATTTCTTTGCCACACACTCCCGGTAAACTAACTTATTGGGTAGCCAGGTCACTACAAATTTGGTGAGCCGGAGTATTTCTAGATATTTTCTCTTGAAAGCTTTTCCTTTCAAGTCGTCTTAATTTTGTTTCTTTTGCCCGGTAATTATGGAGGCACACTGTGCTTCAGCGGATTTAGTCGAGAATGCGATTAGCATACGTTTACCAGACTGCAATCCACGCAACCCCAGTGTATGGTTTCACCAGGTGGAGGCCGTTTTTACTACTCGACGCATCACTTCCCAAGCCACGCGATTTTCCTATGTTGTCCAGCATCTTCCTTGTGATGTAGCAACAGAAGTAGATCTATTGAAATATATGCCCAAGGATAACCCATATGATGCCCTTCGAACGGCCGTCATATGTAGGACAGGAAAATCAGAAAACCAAATGCTACGGGATCTATTCACCACTGTCGAACTTGGGGACGGATCGCCATCGCAACTGCTTCGCCAAATACTCAGTCTCCTCTGCAGTCGTATGCTGGCCCAACCACGGCTCTCGAATGAAGCAGGCTAACTTCGTGCATGAAGCGCCAAAGCTATTTCAGTCCCACGAACGGGGGCTACCGAGCAATGAAATTTCAATAGGTTCAATAAAGGTGTGCAATGCAGGAAGCTATTAGGTTTGAACTACAAGGCGTTTAATACAGGGGCGTTTCCTAAGTTGGTGTAAAATTTCGTACAGACTCTGAATATTTTTCACACTCAGGAGCAAACGCGCGCTAATTAGGCTCTCAGACAGCCGCATTATTGTCAAAGTTCGTTATGGCGTACTCGGGATGCGCTTTGGGCATAAAACTCATATTTTCATTTTCTTTCATAACTTGACTTTCCGTGAGGACGTGGTAAGTTTTTTGGAAATTTCATTTCTTAGCGCTTTTTGTCATATTAAAAGCTAGACAAACTTAGGTCGTATCTGTACGCGGAAATTCGAATTGGATAGGCTATTCGCTACCTCTCTATGGCAAAGTTTTCACCGATTGCAGCAGACATACCACCGGACGAAATCAAGATAGTCCTCGCAGTTAGATAATTTAGTGGATTTATTTTACGATAAGTTGTACCGGATCGAAAAAAAGGACTTTATCTTCATTGGTATATTGGTTCCTTGACAGCCATGGAAAGAAGTAGTGGCTCTAATGGCAGAAAAAGGGATAGTACCCCAGTTATCATTGGTGCAGAAATTTCCACACTCATTCCACGGATCTCTGTCCTCAGGTGAAGAGCTACTAAAGAAATGGGACATGTTGCGGATCTCCGTTCGATTCCGTGTGCGAAAATGGCACGGAAAAGCCCGAACTCAGTACCTGAATTTCTGCACCCAGTCCGCACTTAGTAAGAATCATCCGGTTGATGTATCCGGCCCATTGTAGGCATTTGTCGCTTCACATATACGTACTCAAAATCTGCCGAATACATGTTGTCGTGCAGTTGTGTCCCATTTACTCACACGCTTTTCCCCAATGTCTCCCTGCTTGTACGGATGGAATTTTTCCGATGTACGGAAATTTATGCAAGGGGTGCAAAAATTCGCAGAATATCTTTTAGTCGGTCAATTCTGGTGGCTGAATTTGTTTTCAGAAATTGTCTTTCAATTTCTAGACACAGGTGAATGATTCTCCTTATCCATTGTATATTTATAAACGGGAGATTCGGAGTTGGAACGTCTCTAATGAAGAAAATTAATGCCGAGAATGCATTCAAACATTTGTTCAAATTAGCCGGTTATAAGTTAGCGACTAAGCACTTGTGAGTAAGAATCCGGTCCATCCTGGAAGAGCTTAAAGTTATTTTATATTTATTCCTAGCTAGCGGCGGATTACAATGAGTCTCGGAGCCAATGTGGGTGTATTTTTGTTATATACTGTTGAAGGTTACTGACATCCTGCACGCGCTACGTTCCCGCCATTGCAAAATCAGCCATCGCTACATAGGCCAACGCCCACTAATTCTGCATACCGGCGACCATCTCTGTGGATTTTTCTTACCTGTCCAGTTCAACCTTGGGCGATAAGAGTAGGAAGATATCACTATTTGGCATTGAAACATCTAAATTCATATACAGCCCATCAAGCGGTGATTAATTACGCTCCAATTTCCTTATTATATAGTTGACTTAGGGCCCTATAATTAGCTCATTGAGAATAAGATCTACGAGTTGTTTTTTGGTTATACTCGTCCTGGTATTTGGAGAATTTGCCTTAGGAAATAAGGTACACAATGCGCGATGCAAACTTGAATTGTCATGTACATCTCCATGGTCCCGGATCACCTTTGGCGAGAAACGCCGCATATATGGAGCTGCTGGAAGGTAAACATATCCCGTGGGACAGTCAACTCAGGCATATCTGGAACTTGTCGTCTGGATAATTATGAATCTTACACAGAGGTTCAACCCAGGGCATTGTGAACGGATCCGTCTTTTGGACGACAAAAATGGCCAGTTACTATGGCCTCCCAACGTACTTATCTGAATATAATTGTGCTCGGTGGGACTCTATGCGCAATACGAATGAATTTCGGAGTGATGATTATCTTAAACAGAAAAACTCGTCATCAATTTTTGTATACCTAAACATAGCAGGCATAAAGCATATCATGGTGCGACAAAACTCACTGCCTGAGGCACGCGGCTGTCGGAATGCGTGCAGAGCTCTTCATGCAAGAACGAATTGGTAGACGGCTTACACTCCTTGGGGTTCCTGAAACGTAGGGTGTTTTGGCCTTTTATTACCATGAGACAGATAAGAATGATTTGATGCCTCCGGAATGTATCCGTCTTTCACGGCTTAAAAGCTCTTGATTGGTGCTGAACTTTCTGCACATGTTCTGCATCCGAGCGTGGACGCGTGTTAACTGGAACAATGCGATGGCAAGCACTTTGTAGTACCGCAACAAATTCAGCGGATTGATATTGTCCTCTTAATGTATGTAACACGCTCGATATAGAAATAGTATAGACCATGTGAAATACGGACAGGCCAGCAGACAGCGGCCACATTACCGTTTCCGCAACGTCGTACTTTGGTTGGTCATTTGGGGCTATTAGGGTAATTGAGACTGTCACGGGACTCGTGACTAAGACCAACATGGGCCAAAGAAGTGCTCGGATTCATTGAGGGTGCGGGGTGTTTCATTACCATTCTTCAAAAGAAGCAATGAGACAACCGTAGTTAGAGT